TCAGAAAACTTGGAAAGGAACAACCATTTGACTGAGCTATCCCACTCCTCCGTCTATACCCAGAGGACCTAAAGTCAGCATACTATAGTAACACAGCCACATCAATGTTTATAGCAGCTCAATTCACAATAGCTAAAGTGTGGAACCAACCTAGATGCCCTTCAATAGATGAATGAATAAGAAACTATGGTATATACACACAATGGAATATTACTCAGCATTAAAAGAGAAAAAAATTATTGCATTTGCAGGTAAATGGATGGAGTTAAAGAATATTATGCTAAGAAAAGTAAGCCAATCCCACATACCAAAGGCCGAATGTGCTCTCTGATAAGTGGATGCTGACCCATGGCGGGGGGGCAGGCATGGGAAAAGTGGAGGAAATGTGATTGGGCAAAGGGGAGGAAGGGGAGGGGAGGGGGCATGGGGGCAAGAAAATTGTTGGAATGAGATGGACATCATTACCCTAGGTACATGTATGACTGCACATATTATGTGACACTACATCATGTACAACCAGAGAAATAAAAAGTTGTGCTGCAATTGTGTACAATTGTTACAGTGAATCAAAATGCATTCTGCTATCATATATACCTAATTAGAATAAATTAATTAATTATTTAAATTTTTAAAACTATATATAATTTATATATATAATTATATAAATAATTTCTCATATATATATATATATATATATATATATATATATATATATATAAAATTTTATGTAATTTTTTTTTATTGAACCCAGGGTCACTCAGCTACTGAGATACATCCCCAGTCCTTTTAAAAATTTTATTTATAGTCAGGGTCTTGCTAAGTTGTTTAGGGCCTTACTAAGTTGCTGAGGCTGGCTTGGAAACCTCAATCCTCCTGAGTGGCTAGGATTGTAGGCATGTGCCACCATGCCTGGCAGAAGTATATATTCTAAATAGACCAATGACTAGGAAGAAAATTGAATCAGTATCGATGTCTTCCTTCAGGAAAAATCCCAGATATGATGCCTTCAATATTGAATTCTACCAAACACTTAAAGAAGAACTAACACAAGTATTTCTCAAACTTTTCCAGAAAGAGGATGGAGTATTCTAGATTCACTTTACCCTGATAGAAAAGTCTCATAAGGATACTACAAGAAAATGAAATTACAGGCCCACATCCCTGATGAATATATGAATGAAAAAATTCTCAAAAAATCTAGTGGAAAATTGTATCCAACAGCACATTAAAAGGATCATTCTCCATGACCAAGTGGAATTTATCCCTAGAACACAAGGATGATTCAACATGCACAAATCAATAAATATAACACATCACATTTACAGGATTAAGGATTCAAAATCTATAGGATCAGGATACTTGTAGATCAATGAACAAAATGGAATCTCATTTGAGTTTTTGCTAAGTTACCTGGATAATTCCATTAGGGAGAAGGATAGCATTTTTAATGATTTTATGACCTTCAAAAATGGGTACATCCCCAAACCTATCAAACGGTGAATGATTGAAAAAATCATATCTATTTATGCACTGGAATGCTGTTCAGAAATCAAAGAAAAAAAACTACTGATACACAAAATTACATGTTTGAATTTATAAAATATTAGGTAGAGCTGAAGAGGCCAGACACAAAAGTGTATATACTAAGTGATTCCGTATGTATGAAGTTCAAAACAGGCAAATCTACACTGTAGTGAAAGAAAGCCCATAGACAAAAATCAGATTGGTGGCAGAAGGTAGGAATGTGGTTCAAGGGTTTACAGAGAATTTTGAGGTATCTTCTTGATTTGGACTGGGTGGAGGTTACACTCAAAACTCCTTGAACTGGATGTTTAAAATGGTTGCATTTCCTTCTATGCAAATTGTACTTCAAGAAAATTGAAAAGTGCCCTTGTCCTTGATGTTATCACAGGTTAATCAGTTATGAATTTGCATACTTTACTGGATGATCAAGTATTGTTTTTCCTGATTAACACTAACGTTAAACATTTTTTCACACTGTTTATGAATTCTGTCCATATTCTTTGTACATTTCTATATTCTGTATGTTTTATTCTTACTAGAATATTTGAAGGTAATACACACACATATTCTGGATTTTAATCATGTATCTATTAGACTCATTGCAGCTATTACTTCTCTATCAAACTTGTTATTATTTGTCTTAGAAAAGTTTCTATTTAAAAAATGTGGTCTTATATGTGTCTTCTTCTTCTTCTTCTTATTATTATTATTATTCTGAGTTTTGCATGACTTTAAGTATTTACTTGTAGTAAATTTTTTTTTCATAAATTATAGTTTATATTTATCTTTTTAAGCCATATAAAAGACAGCACTCTCAGTAAGAAATTGATTTACCATGTCAATTATCCAGTGCTTTTGAGTACTGCATTTTATTACATTGATTTTAAAAAATATATTCATCATAAAAAGTTCCCATATATGACCATTTCTTCAAATCCTTCCTAGTTTCTTGATCTTTTTATTTTTGTTATTTGTGTCTACATAAACACTGTTGTATTCACAGAGATTTAAAAATACATATTGAAATCTGGTAGATATGGAACTTATGTTTCCTTATACCTTATATTTCCAGTTTTTCAAATAGCTCTTAGAAATTCTACTTTCCTTCAATCCCTACCAAAATACCTGTGATATTCTTTACATAACTAGAAAATACAATTCTAAATTTTATATGAAATGGCAAAAAAACCTGAAGAGTCAAAGTCATGTTGAACAAAAGAACAAAGCATTAGGTGTTGTGCTACCGGACTTCAAACCATACTATGGAGCTGGAGTAATCAAAATTGCATGGCATTAGCACAAAAAGAGACACATAGACCATTGAAACAGAATAGAGAGCCTAGAAGTAAATTTATGTATCTGCAGCCATCTAACTTTTGACAAATGTGTTAAGAAAACACATTTGAGAAAGGATCCCAGTCTCTATAAATGGTACTGGGGAAATTGGATAGCCACATTCAGAAGAATGAAACTAGATCTCTATCTCTCACCATTTATGATAATACTCTCAAAAGAAGTTAATGAAATAAATACAAGACCTGGAACTATGAAATTACTAGGAGAAAATATAGGGGAATATCAGAATATTGGAATTGGTAAGGATTTTTGACACAAAACTATGCAAGCACAGGAAACAAAATAAAAAATAGACAAATGAGATTACATCAAACTAAAAAAACTTTTGCATAGCAAAGGAAACAACAGAATGAAGAGACAGCCTAAAGAACAGGAGAATGTATTCTCAAATTATACATCTGGCAAGATGTCAACACACACAATATATAATAAACTTCAAAACCCAACACCAAAAGAAACAAATAACCTGATTTGCAAAATGAAGAAAAATATCCAACACGCACACACAAAAAAAATACTCAATATCACAAAGTACCAAGGAATTGCAAACCAAAACCACAACAAGGGCTGGGGTTGTGGCTCAGTGGTAGGTACTGGGTTCGATACTTTTAAAATGTGTTGAATAAAAGTTGCAAAAATGGGCATCCTTGTCTTGTTCCAGATCTTAGAGCAAATGCTTTCAGCTTCTCCTCATTCAGTATAATATTAGCTGTTGGCTTATTGTAAATGGTCTTTATTTAGTTGAGTTGCATACCTTCTATGCAGGATTTGTTCAAGATATTTATTATTGAAGATTTTTATTATAAAGTATTAAATGTTGTCAAGTGAATTTTCTGCATGGTTTTTGTCTTTCATTCTGTTGATGAAGTATATTTTAGTCAGCTCTTTTACTGTTGTGAACAAAAGACCTGTAAAGAACAATTTTAGAGGAGGAAAATTTTGTTTGGCACTCACAATTTTAGAAGTTTTGGTTCACGGATGACTGACTCCATTGCTCTGGATGCAAGGTGGGGCAGAACATCATGGTAGAAGTGGAGAAAGAGAGGAGGGAGGGAGGGAGGGAGGGAGAGAGAGAGAGAGAGAGATCCCTAAGGCATGCCCTCCAAGACCCATGTCCTCCAGCCACATGCACTGACTAGGTTAAAGCTCTAATAAAACAATCATTTGACTTCTAAACTTTCTTGCATTACCTTACACATGAGTTTTTGAAGGACACTACATATCTAAATCATAACATAATGTATCAAGTTTATTTATTTATGTATGTGGAACCATCCTTGAACCTCTGAGATACATCCTACTTGATCCATGGTGGCAATCTTTATAGTGTGCTGTTGGATTTGATCTTCTAGTATTTAGTTAAGGAGTATTGCAATGTTCGTCTAGAATATTGACCTAAGGTTTTCTTTCTTTCTTTCTATTCTTTTCTTTTCTTTTTTTGTATTTTTTTCCAGTTTGGGGGTCAAGGTAATGCTGGTCTCATAGAATATGTTTGCAAGAATTCTTCCATTTTAATTTTTGGGGAAAATATGAGGAATTCTTAAATGTTTTGTGCAACTTGACAATGAAGTCATGGGAGTCCTGAGCTTTTCTTTAATGGAAGGGTTTTTATTACAGATTAAAATTTGCTGCTTGTTATTGGTCTCTTCAGGTTTTTTATTTCTTCATAATTCAAGGTGTATGTGTCTTAAGAATTTTCCCATTCCCTTTAGTTCATCAGAAGTATGTCTTTTTCTTGGGGAGGGAAGTTACTGGAGATTGAACCCAGGGGTGCTCAACTACTAAGCCACATCCTCAGCCGTTTTTAAATTTTTATTTAAAGACAGGGTGTCACTAAGTTGCTTAGGGCCTCACAAAGTTGCTGAGACTGGCTTCAAACTCATGATATTTATAGGCTTTTCCAGCATCACTTGGGAAAGATAAATAGGAAGGCAAATCCAGGTCCCCAGGGCCACCTTTCCTAGTTAACTGCTCAGCTAAACATACTTTCTTTTGCCTATAGAACAAGTATGTAGTATGTTACTTAAACTGAAGTTCCCACGGTGAGGGAAAAATCTGGGAAAAGATTTCAATATTAATATCAATTATAATATTAATGTGAAAATTATATTAAAACCCCTTCACACAGAGAAGGGAATTTTCTTCTTACAAAGGACTCTTCCTAGGGCTCCCTTTATGTCTCTGTTCCTCAGGCTGTAGATGAAGAGGTTCAGCATGGGAGTGACCACCATGTACATCAGAGCCATGACAGTGTCTTTCACAGTGGATTTCTTAGCCGATGGACATAAGTACAGATCAATGACTGTCCCATAGAACAGTGACACCACAGAGAGGTGGGAGCCACAGGTGGAGAAGGCCTTATGGATACCTCGAGCAGAAGAGACCTTGAGAATGGAGGACACAATGCATACATGGGACACAAGAATGAGTAGGAATGGGATGAAAACAACAGTTCCTGCTATAATAAACAGCACCAACTCATTAACATGAGTGTCAGAGCAGGCCAGCTTGAGCAAGGCAGATACTTCACAGAAAGAGTGTGGGATCACATTGTCTGCACAGAAGGACAATCTGGGAATGAGCAGGATGTGCAACAAGGAATAGAACATGGTCACCACCCAGGACAACACCACCAGGGAGAGACAGAGCTTGGGGCTCATGATGATGGTGTAGTGCAGGGAGAAGCAGATGGCCACATAGCGGTCATAGGCCATGGCCACAAGGATGAAGTTTCCAAGGCCTCCAAAAAACAGGAAGAAGTGAATTTTGGTCAGGCAGCCTGCATAGGGGATGGATGGATCTTGACTCTGAATGTTCTGCAACAGTTCAGGAATGGTCACAGAGGAAAAGCAGAGGTCAGAGAAAGACAACTTTTTGCTAAGAAACAAATACATGGGAGTGTGGAGATGGGTGTCGAGGAGAATGAGGACAATGATGAGGAGGTTCCCCAGGATGGTGGTAAGATACATGGCCAGGAACAGGGCATAGAACAGGTTCCGGCACTCTGGCTGGATGGGCAGGCCCAGGAGAAGGAACTCGAGATGAGAGTTTGGCTCTTTACCATTATTATCTGTCTCCAATACCTTTAAGAGAAATAATAAGGCCTAAGTGAAAATGATCATTTTTTTCTCATACACAGTGTTTACGTGTTCTACAATAATGGATCTCACCACCATCACAATAATTATCACCTTATAAGTGTCTTTAATCTCTATGATCATTTATTACTTTTTCTCATCTTCTTTTCAACATGTTTCAGTAGTTCATTCTTTCCTAAATACTTATCTGTTTGCTTCTGTCACAGAAGGAGTGTTGGATTTTCTCTGCCTGACTGTCATCACTGGACTGCACTTGAGTAGCAAACACACACATTCCCTTCAAACGCAGATTACTGAGCACCTTCAGATAATTTAATTGGAATCTCTGATAGTGGCATGTGCAAAGTTTTTTAAAGTCCCTCAGGTGAATGTAAAATAAAGAAAGGTTAAGAACTGTATGTCAAAATGCTGTGACCTATGAGGATTCACTGCACAGTAAGTAACATTAATGAACAGTGTTATTAATAAAAAGTGTTATAAATGATGAACTTTAGTCAAAATATTTCTATACTGTGGCAAAGTCTTGGAAGGCAGGTAGGTGGAAAAGAGAAAAGTTATCATACCTGAAAAGTTACTTTGTAGAACATCATACAACCTGACATATTGACATCTTACCCAGGATGTCTGAGGGTGACTGTGGGGCCCTGACCCAAGGCCCTGCTCCCTTTTATTCATTATAAGCCTATGAATTAACATCCTCTGTAGTCATCACGTGTCTCTGCCATCCCTTCTCATGTCTCACCTTTTAGCCATCCATGGGCCCGAGAGACTTACATCCCAGGGAAGTCCAGATTCGGGCCTAACTCATTAAGTACAAAGTAATTATCCAGAACCTCTTCAAGACAAATTCTCAAAGTCCTTTATGGTGACTGATTCCAGCCACTGATCACACCTGACTATTAACTATAATAACCATTTAAATAGAACAACTATGCCAGTGTTGTAATAAAAGTTATCTGAGTGTTCTCTGTCTCCCTCAAAATATCTTCCCTTTCTGCTTGTGATGATGTGAGCTGTTAACAGTGCCTGTGTGGTGAGATGAAGTGAGGTGACATAGACATTGGGATGTAGTGTTAGACTACTATGTAAGATTTACTTGGAGATCTACTTGAGCTTTACTAAGGTTTATTATACAAGGTTTACTTATTTCACTGAAATACCATCATAGTTGATATGATAAGAGACTAACAGATGGGTAGCATAAACAGCCCAGATATGCTGGAAAAGGGATTATTCAGATCCATAGCAGGATGGAGCAAGGAAGCACAAGAGTTCATCATGCTACTCAAATGGCATGTAGTTGAAAACTTGTGAATCATTTACTTCTGGAATTTTCCATTAAATATTGTAGGACTGTGGTTTAGTGGAAGTAACTGAAAACAGGGAAAAATGAGAATACGGATAAGTGGGACTACCGATTGTGTCTTAAAACTACAAAACGCTGATTAAAGAAACAAAAGATGTAAGAAATGGAAATGCATACTATTGTCTGGACTGGAAGACTCAATATTCTTAAGATGTTGACTCTTCAAAAACGTATCTCAAAATTTAGCAAAATTCCAATCATAATTCCAAAAAGATTTTTTTGTGAACAAATTGATGATCTCATTATAGAATTTATGTGTGAAGGCAAAGAAGCTTCAGTTTTGGAAGAGAAGAGCAAAATAGGAAGTTTCACATCTCTTATTTCCAGTCTATTAAGTGACAATAATTGAGGAAGTGTGATATTAAAGATAGAAACATATATCAGTATTGAGAGTCAGAATAGCATAAAGTGCAGAACTAGATTCACTCTTATATCCTTCATTGAATTTTAATACTGTAATTATGGCAAATCAATAAATATAGCCTTTCTAACAAATGATGCTGGAAAAAAATAGATTACTTAGGATAATAAAACCCTCACTTCATTCCTCTATTTCTCTAAAATAATTAACTTAAAATGTATCTTTGACCTTAATATTTGTATGAATTTGAGGAGAGTTCCTATGACATTTTTCTTTGGAGTCAGAAAATTCCCAGAGCCAGGCACAGCAGTGCACGCCTATAATCCCAGCAGTTTGGAAGGCTGAGGCAGGAGGATGGTGAGTTCAAAGCCAGCCTCAGCAACTTGGTGAGGCGCTAAGCAGCTCAGCGAGACCCTGTCTCTAAATGACATAGGAAAAAGGGCTGGGGGTGTGGCCCAGGGATTGAGTGCCCATGAGTTCAATTCCCTGTACAAAAAAAAAAAAAAAGTCCCAGAACAAAAATTAAGGAGCAGGTGGCGAAGGATTGAAGGAAGGTGATGTCAATTTACATCCACTCAAGCTGGTTGAAGTCAGTGCAGAGCTCGTTCCTGCAGCTGTGGCTGAACTAAGAGATGAGACTGATGAACTTAAAATGGCGTATCAAAATATTTGTTCTCAACGCATGTGCTCTTCTGCCAGGAATATAATAACTGTCTCACTAATTTGGAAATTGAGTCTATTATACAGCCTCTCCCTCTCTCTCTCTCTCTCTCTCTCTCTCTCTCAGTTGTTAGTAAACTAACGTACAAAGAGCAGAGGTGATTGATACTGATATCAAGGAAAAGTTTGTTTGTAGACAACCAGAGTAGGGAGGATTGAGTCTGAAAGCCTGGGACAATTTTCAGGTACCTCATTCTATTTTCATGTCCAGAAATAAATGCTAACATAATCAATAATAACCCAATAAAGGCCAGACTATTGAGGTTGCACATTCCCTAGGAATGCATCTTGCACTGTATCACTATGCACAGAACTTCATTCAGTTGGTGACTTCCAAGTACAAGGGGTACTTGGAACAGGCAGTGAAAGAAGGAAATATAAATGATGGTCTGGCCTTGTAATTGATTTCAGGGACATAGACCATGACATTAGGAGGTCATCTGGCATATATGGAGAGTGTTTGGGATGATGTTGATGATGGGTGCTATGAGGGTTTTCCTAGAGAGGTAAGGAGGCAAAATTAACTAAATAATGTGGAATCTGGGCTTCTTTTTCTATCTTGACCTGAGAAAGTATTGGACATGATGTGGAGGTGTTTGTCTTTTTCTTTTGGGGGGGAATATATATATATATACACATACATACATACACACACATATATGTATATATAATATATATATAATTTTTAAAATAAAACCATCATGCACAATTAAACTTGATTAAAAGCCTGGAGAATGCTAAAAGTAGTACAGGAGGCTGCAGAGCAGAGCATACAGGTGTTCCCTTTTCTGCAGTTGGTAAATGCTGGGAAGTAACAGACAGACGTGTCTTCACTTGAGCATTGGAGAAGCAAAAAAGTTGCCTTGTCATTCTAGGTTGGTGGCAGACTTGCTTTTGCTCCCAAATATGGGAGTTTTCTTGGTGAGGGTAGAGCAGACTCTTTGGGATAGGGAGCTGGATGAAGGAGTCTTAAGAAACTGGTGCTCAGGACTAGTCACGGGCCCCAGTAAGATCACTTTAATATCTGGTGTCTGTGGTGTTGAAAAGGCATTTGAGTTTTCAATAACATGCAGCGGATCAATGTTCTCTTGCTCCACTATCATGAACTGACTCCAATATTCCAGGGGCAGTTAAAGCAGGCATTCTACCAACTTGGATTGACGCTTGATGTTCTGTAACATTGTCACTGGGTCAAGATTGGGCACAGCATGGGCAACAATTGTAGGACCAAAGACTTTAGCCAGATTGGCAACATCCATTTTAGTGTTTGGACTCTTGAGCCACTCTCTGCAAGTGAATCATGAGGAAGGCTAATGTGTCCCTGTTGCCCTGGGGTTGTTCACCAACAGCCTGGTACATGGTAGCTATGCTGTTATCTTCATCTGTGATTTCTGCTGCTTCCATGAAGGCTTTGTTTAGCCTAAAGGTTAGAAGGGGTTCTTTGAGGTTTCAAAGGAAGTCTTTCAGAAGGCTACAGATGGCATGGATATCATCCACTTTGCTGAGAGGGGGTACGGTTTTCACTCTGAGGAATTTCTCTTTCAGCTCTTTCACTGTCCGACCACAGCCTAAGATCCTATACAAGCCTGTCTCAGCCCTCTCTGCTCAATTTCATTTACACAGTGGACAACAATAGAGGGTATTATTGGAGAAGTTTGGGACACAAAATCAGCCAGCATTCCCTCTCCAATCTTGACAGGTGTTCCTATCAGAGTAGATTGCAGAGAAGGGGACAGCGGTCCCGACATTCTGGATGAGAAACCACACGACAATCTCGACACTTCGGAGACAGCTTGTCAAATTTTATCCATTTCCCACATGGAACACAGGATTCAGGTTTAATAACCGTCTTAGAGACAAAGTCATGCAGGCGCATCCCTCCGTTACTCTGTGGTGTGCCAGAACTATCATTCTCGATTCTTGGCTCCAGAGGTCTACTGCTCAGGGTGGAGTCACTGTTCCAAGGTTGTAAAGTACCTGTTTTCCATCAGCTCCTTGTCAAATATGGCACAGTTTCAACAGTGGACACAGCTTCAATGGGCCCACCATCATTGGGAACAGTTACTATAGTCTTTTCAACTATGGATTCATTTCCCTGGTCTACTGTGGAGCCAATGGGGTCCATTAACAAACTGTCGGCTATTGGAGCGCCTCTTTTCTCTCTTCTTCAATTTGAAATTCTTCACCAAAGAAGAATCCCAATCCAGTGATTCATCAGTCTTATCAAAGCTGATATCTGATAAAATGGAACCAGATTCATCAATGGTTGACAGCCTTTTGTTCCCAGCATTGCCACTGGATGGTTGGCCTCTGTTGAGAAAAGCCAAAGTTGATTTTTGCTCTTCGCTTAGTTGAATGCTGCCAGATGTGTCACACATGAGCATCTCTCGAATCAGCTGAATCTGTCGTTCCAGTTTTTCACAGTTAGCTTCAGCTCGCTGTCTCCGTTTAATCTCTACAGCCACTTGATATCATGCATGCTTTAGCTCAACATCCAGAGCACTATGCTCAGTCTC